TCAATGAAATAATACGAGAAAACTTCCCAGACTTGAAGAATGAGACAGAATCCCAAATCCTAGAAGCCTACAGGACGCCGGATGTGCAAAATCATAAGAGATCCACACCTAGACACATTATAATGAAGATGCCCAACATACAGAATAAGGAGAGAATTTTAAAAGCTACAAGAGAAAGGAAGCGGATTACATTTAGGGGTAAGCAATCAGGATAACAGCTGATCTTTCAACACAGACTATGAAAGCTAGAAGATCCTGGAATAACATATTTCAAACACTGAAAGAAAATGGGTTCCAACCAAGAATTGTGTATCCAGTGAAATTAAGCTTCAGGATGGAGGATGAAATTAAAACCTTCCACGATAAACAAAAGTTTAAAGAATTCGCAGCTAGAAAACCATCTCTTCAAAACATCCTCGCCAAAGCATTACAGGAAGAGGAAATGAAAATAACAATGAAAACCAACAGTGGGAGGTAGGACAGTAAAGGGGGGAAAAATAATCAAAGAGGAAAACAAACCATGTTTAGTAACAGAAATAAACAAATATGGCTGGAAGAACAACCCATATCTCAATAATAACCCTAAATGTTAATGGCTTAAACTCACCAATTAAGAGACACAGGCTAGTAGAATGGATCACAAAACAAGACCCAACAATATGCTGCCTACAGGAGACGCATTTGATAGGAAAAGACATACATAGGCTGAAGGTGAAAGGTTGGGAAAAATCATATCACTCATATGGACTTCGGAAACAAGCAGGAGTGTCCATACTCATATCAAATAAAATATATTTCAAGCCAAAGTTAATCAAAAGGGATAAAGAGGGACACTACATACTGCTTAAGGGAACCATACACCAACAAGACATAACAATCATAAATATATATGCCCCAAACAATGGTGCAGCTATGTTCATCAAACAAACTCTTCTCAAGTTCAAGAGTCTAATAGACCACCATACAATAATCATGGGAGACTTCAACACACCTCTCTCGCCACTGGACAGATCTTCTAAACAAAAGTTGAATAAGGAAACTATAGAACTCAATAACACAATTAATAACCTAGACTTAATTGACATATATAGAATATACCACCCAACATCAAGCAGTTACACTTTTTTTCTCAGCAGCACATGGATCCTTCTCAAAAATAGATCATATATTATGTCACAGGGCAACTCTTAGACAATGAACAATAGGTTACTGAATGATCAATGGGTTATAGAAGACATCAAGGAGGAAATTAAAAAATTCTTAGAGATAAATGAAAACACAGACACAACATATCGGAATCTATGGGACACATTGAAAGCAGTTCTAAGAGGAAAATTCATTGCTTGGAGTTCATTCCTTAAAAAAAGAAAAAACCAACAAATAAATGATCTCATACTTCATCTCAAAATCCTAGAAAAAGAAGAGCAAAACAACAGCAAAAGAAGTAGAAGGCAAGAAATAATTAAAATCAGAGCTGAAATTAATGAAATCGAAACAAAAGAAACAATTGAAAAAATTGACAAAACTAAAAGTTGGTTCTTTGAAAAAATAAATAAAATCGACAGACCCTTAGCCATGCTAGCGAAGAGAAGAAGAGAGAGAACTCAAATTACTAGCATACGGGATGAAAAAGGCAATATCACAACAGACACTTCAGAAATACAGAAGATAATCAAAAATTATTTTGAATCCTTATACTCCAATAAATTAGAAGATAGTGAAGGCATCGATAAATTTCTTAAGTCATATGATCTGCCCAGATTGAGTCAGGAGGATATAGACAACCTAAACAGACCAATATCAATTGAGGAAATAGAAGAAACCATCAAAAGACTACCAACTAAGAAAAGTCCAGGACCGGATGGGTATATAGCAGAGTTTTACAAAACCTTTAAAGAGGAACTAATACCAATACTTTTCAAGCTACTTCAGGAAACAGAAAAAGAGGGAGAACTTCCAAATTCATTCTACGAGGCCAACATCACCCTGATACCTAAACCAGACAAAGACACTTCAAAGAAAGAAAACTACAGACCAATATCTCTAATGAACCTAGATGCAAAAATCCTCAATAAAATTCTGGCGAATCGGATACAAAAACATATCAAAAAAATTGTGCACCATGATCAAGTAGGATTCATCCCTGGGATGCAAGGCTGGTTCAATATACGGAAATCAATAAATGTTATTCACCACATCAATAGGCTTAAAAATAAGAATCATATGATCATCTCGATAGATGCGGAAAAAGCATTCGACAAAGTACAGCATCCCTTTATGTTCAAAACTCTAGAAAAACTAGGGATAACAGGAACATACCTCAATATTGTAAAAGCAATCTATGCTAAGCCTCAGGCTAGCATCATTCTGAATGGAGAAAAATTGAAGGCATTCCCTCTAAAATCTGGAACAAGACAGGGATGCCCTCTCTCACCACTTCTGTTCAACATAGTTCTCGAAACACTGGCCAGAGCAATTAGACAGACGAAAGAAATTAAAGGCATCAAAATAGGAAAAGAAGAACTTAAATTATCACTATTTGCAGGTGACATGATTCTATACCTAGCAGACCCAAAAGGGTCTACAAAGAAACTATTAGAGCTAATAAATGAATTCAGCAAAGTGGCAGGATATAATATCAGCACGCATAAATCAAAGGCATTCCTGTATATCAGCGACAAATCCTCTGAAATGGAAATGAGGACAACCACTCCATTCACAATATCCTCAAAAAAAATAAAATACTTGGAAATCAAACTAACAAAAGAGGTGAAAGACTTATACAATGAAAACTACAGAACCCTAAAGAGAGAAATAGAAGAAGATCTTAGAAGATGGAAAAATATACCCTGTTCATGGATAGGCAGAACTAACATCATCAAAATGGCGATATTACCAAAAGTTCTATATAGGTTTAATGCAATGCCAATCAAAATCCCAACGGCATTTCTTGTAGAAATAGAGAAAGCAATCATGAAATTCATATGGAAAAATAAAAGACCCAGAATAGCAAAAACAATGCTAAGCAGGAAGTGTGAATCAGGCGGTATAGCGATACCAGACTTCAAAATATACTACAGAGCAATAGTAACAAAAACAGCATGGTACTGGTACCAAAACAGGCGGGTGGACCAATGGTACAGAATAGAGGACACAGAAACCAATCCACAAAACTACAACTATCTTATATTTGATAAAGGGGCTAAAAGCATGCAATGGAGGAAGGATAGCATCTTCAACAAATGGTGCTGGGAAAACTGGAAATCCATATGCAACAAAATGAAACTGAATCCCTTTCTCTCACCATGCACAAAAGTTAATTCAAAATGGATCAAGGAGCTTGATATCAAATCAGAGACACGCCGTCTGATAGAAGAAAAAGTTGGCTACGATCTACAGTCGGTGGGGTCGGGCTCCAAATTCCTCAATAGGACACTCACAGCACAAAAGTTAATAACTAGAATCAACAAATGGGACTTACTCAAACTAAAAAGTTTTTTCTCAGCAAAAGAAACAATAAGAGAGGTAAATAGGGAGCCTACATTCTGGGAACAAATCTTTACTCCTCACACTTCAGATAGAGCCCTAATATCCAGAGTATACAAAGAACTCAAAAAATTAGACAATAAGAGAACAAACAACCCAATCAACAAATGGGCCAAGGACCTGAACAGACACTTCTCAGAGGAGGACATACAATCAATCAACAAGTACATGAAAAAATGCTCACCATCTCTAGCAGTCAGAGAAATGCAAATCAAAACCACCCTAAGATACCATCTCACTCCACTAAGATTGGCAGCCATTATGAAGTCAAACAACAACAAGTGCTGGCGAGGATGTGGGGAAAAGGGTACACTTGTACATTGCTGGTGGGACTGCAAATTGGTGCAGCCAATTTGGAAAGCAGTATGGAGATTTCTTGAAAACCTGGAATGGAACCACCATTTGACCCAGCTATTCCCCTTCTTGGTCTATTCCCTAAAGACCTAAAAAGAGCATGCTACAGGGACACTGCTACATCGATGTTCATAGCAGCACAATTCACAATAGCAAGATTGTGGAACCAACCTAGATGCCCTTCAATAGACGAATGGATAAAAAAAAAATGTGGCATTTATACACAATGGAGTATTACTCTGCATTAAAAAATGACAAAATCATAGAATTTGCAGGGAAATGGATGGCATTAGAGCAGATTATGCTAAGTGAAGCTAGCCAATCCCTAAAAAACAAATGCCAAATGTCTTCTTTGATATAAGGAGAGTAACTAAGAACAGAGTAGGGACGAAGAGCATGAGAAGAAGATTAACATTAAACAGGGATGAGAGGTGGGAGGGAAAGGGAGAGAGAAGGGAAATTGCATGGAAATGGAAGGAGACCCTCAGGGTTATATAAAAGTACTACAAGAAGAAGTGAGGGGAAAGGGAAAAATAATACAAGGGGGAGAAATGAATGACAGTAGAGGGGGTAGAGAGAGAAGAGGGGAGGGGAGGGGAGGGGGGATAGTAGAGGATAGGAAAGGCAGCAGAATACAACAGACACTAGTATGGCAATATGTAAATCAATGGATGTGTAACTGGTGTGATTCTGTAATCTGTATATGGGGTAAAAATGGGAGTTCATAATCCACTTGAATCAAAGTGTAAAATATGATATATCAAGAACTATGTAATGTTTTGAACAACCAACAATAAAAAATTAAAAAAAAAATAAAGATTAGGAAAAAAAAATTAAAAATAAATAAATAAATAAATATTTGGAAAAAAAAATTTCAAAGTATGCTGTAGACATGAGTATACTTAGCCTAAATTTTTAGCAATTCATTAACTGCAATTCGTGATTTCTTTTCCTTTTGAGGTAAAAGTTATACAATTTAATGTACTAATCTTAAGTGTATCTTTGCTGAATTTTGACAAATACATAACTCAGTCCCCTATTAAGATGCAAAGCATTATCTTCATCCCAGTAAATTCTTTCATGACCCTTCCCAGTCATACCTTCACTTTTGAGACTGGTACATGGAAGCTCCTATAGGAAGAGAAAAAGAAACAATAACTACTTTAGGAGTAAGTAAACAACACTCTTTAGTGTAATGCCAAATATAACAGTCATTTATTTATTATCAACTTCACTAGTGTGGAACTTGCCCAATTACATTAATGTGCACTTTCCCCTGCCCCATGGGGGACTGAACCCAGGGACTCACACAAGCATGGGGCTTCATCTTTAGAACTTACAAGCCTCTTGCCTCACTCAGCCTCTTAAATAGCGGAGACAACAGTTGTATACCACAATAGCCAACAAATTAATGTGCTTTACTTAAAACAGGACCTCCTGTTTAATGACTTTTCATGCAAATACAATTCTAATAATTGTGCCCTGGTCTCCAAACTCACAGCAGGTTAGGAATTATAAAGTCTGAATGAAAAAGGGGCTGCTAAAGGTATGCAAAGCAAAGAGGAGTTGTCATCTGACAAGGGTGCAGATACAAAGAGCAGACATAGAACTGAAAATAGGTTATAGTTTGGTGCCATTTATAGTAGGGGCAAACAGCTCTAGACCCTCAAGAGCACTCCTCACAATGTTACTGAACTGTAGCAAAGTAGAAAATGGTACATCTTTGGTCTTTAAAGTTTTCTTACTGTGGTTTTAATTATATCTGAGTGGCTCCAAGGATTTATCATATGTAATTTGCAGAGACATGATTCTGAATATAACATATGGTGAAGCTGTATAGGGAGCATTTTACTTGGGGTAAAATGAGCCTGGCTGGCTGCCCAGCAGCTACATTGGAATTTGGTTTTGATGTAACTTATAGATGGTCATGTACTCAAGATACAAGCAAAATAATAAAAACGTTCCTTCTTAACAATAATGACTGATTTAAAAAGGCAGCTATTAGAATTGTTAACAGATGTGAAGAGGTCTAAGAAATTGAAGGTTCTTGGTTAGAAAATAAACATTTAAGATTAAAAAAAAAAAAGGGCTGGCTGGAATCAACGATATGAAAAGCTCCCCATATGCCCTCTAGAGATATAAAACAACAGTAACTCATGAAACTACTTAAGTAAATGCTCCTGCAATTATATGCTGGAGTAGGACCTCAAGACACAGGGGAAGGCAGAGCTCCCTAAATCCATGCAAATGAATTACCAGTAAAAACTTAAATACAACATTCTTTATTAAGAAGTACTAGGATAGGGGCTGGGGTTATGACTCAGTGGTAGAGAGCTCGCCTAGCACATTTGGGGCAGTGGGTTCGATCCTCAGCACCACATAAAAATTTAAAAAAGGTATTGTGTCCAATTACAACCAAAACAAAATATTAAAAAAAAAAAAGTAGTAGTAATAGTACTAGGATAAGCATACATTTCTCAAAGACTCCCTGTCAAAATGATGAAAATAAAACAATTTTGAAACTTTAAAAAAAATAGGCTTTATTTATCTGGAAAACTCAATTCTGTGGAAAAGCCCATCCCATTCCAAAAGATGTTTCATGATGATTATCAGTTTTTTAAGGTGACGTTAACTTGTCCTTAATGATTCAACAGAATTATATTGATGGCGAGTTTCTTCAGGAATTACAGAAAAGACGTATTTGCAAAAATTCAATTTACACAAATCTTTCCAAGAACATACTCACTGCTGTAGATGGCATGACATTAGAGAGTGAATGAGAAGCAAGAGAGCAAAGGGTAGGTTTGTTGGAGAGAGAGAAGCAAATTAACAGCAGCTATTTCTAGCTTACATGTCTCAACTCTGCTTATAATCCTTGTTTACAAAGAGCACCTCTGGGCATGACTAAATTGATGATTACTAAATTACAGCATCTCACAGCCTTTTTGTGTGTGAGTGTGTTAGGAACTGAACCCAGAGCCTCATGTGTACTAAAGCACATGTTCTACCACTGAGTAGTTCTACCACACCCCCAATTTGGACAGATTTTAATCTGGTACTAACAAAGTCAAAAGTGGTCCTACAATTGACATTCAAAGTACCTATACTTCTCAATTTATACTGTGAATTCTTTCAGGAAAAAAAAAAGGGCACACATGCTTTTTTGTCATACTAATATATACTATTTTTATCTTTTTTCTCCCCTTTTATTCTAAAGATTACCTACACTAAACTGTAGCTTCCAATTTGTGGACTACATCCTCAGACTCATTTGCAAGTCAGTTGTTACCCCGACCTTGGCTGTATTAACAAACAGAACCAATTATTCAGAATATTGTTTCCACCCCAGCTTGTGATCTACTGGCACAGTTGCTAATATGCCCTGAAATGACTAGTAGATCAAACAGCAGGACAGATCATCACTTAGTGTATTTCACCAAAAGTCTTCCACAGGAAAGATTCCTTCTTCAGACATAGAAAGGGGCACTAGAGTCTAACTCTAAAATGTTAAGATGCTCCTTTTATAAGACAAAGTCAAATTATAACAACCCTGGAAAGAAAGTAGAAATTTATACAAGGGTGGTACAGTAAAGAATTACCCTTACCCAAAGAGAGGTATCTCTAAGCCTAATGGGATGCCATGTTCAACAGGAGTGTCATTATTTTCCTATGGCCTTAGGTCACTGGAGAGTCTCATAATATGATTTAGGTGTAGGCTGGCCACACTGAATAGGCTGGGAGCTTTGGGTCACTTCTGGAGAGACTGGAGACTAAGACTTTCCATGTAGGTAATCAACCACGAGACCCAATAAAAACTCTTAAACACATAGGCTTGGGTGACCTTCCCTTGTTGGCAATATTCCATGCATACTATCATACATTGATGCTGATAAAGTAACACTGTTCTGACTCCAAGGGAAGAGGGAAAAGAAGCTCCACATATGGTACTTTCTTGGACTCTACCCTACAGGTTTCTACCTTTGGCTGATTTTAATCTGTATCCTTTTCCTTGTAATAAAACCACAACCATGAATATAGTAGTTTTCAGTGAGTTCAGTGAGTCATCCTAACAAATTAAAAGCCTTGAAGGAGGTCTTATGGATCAATGAACTTGCAGTTGCATCAGAAATTGATATCAGGAATGAGTGGTCAATGTTCTACTTTAGCAGTTGTCTAAATTCTTGAAGTGGGTTAGAAGTGAGGACAGTCTTGTGGACTATGTCCCCTCTAACTTTTTTTGGTACAAAGGTCTGAAGCCAAGGGCACTTTACCAATGAATTACTCCTCCACCCTCTAAACCCCCTTTTAATTTTACTATAAGACACAGTATTGCTAAATTATTGAGGCTAGCCTCAAACTTGCAATCCTCCTGCCCCAGTCTCCCAAGTGAGTGCAATTATAGGTGTGCACCACCGTATCTGGCTCCTCTAACTTCTTAGTTGGCTAATTCCTTTTTTTTTTTTTTTTTGGTACCAGGGATTGAACTCAGGGGCATTTAACCACTAAGCCAAATCCCAGCCTTTTTTTGTATTTTATTTATAGACAGGGTCTCACTGAGTTGCTTAGTGCCTTGCTCAGTTGCTGAGACTGGCTTTGAACTTATGATCCTCCTGCCTCAGCCTCCAGAGCTGCTGGGATCACAGGTGTGAGCCACCACTTCTGGCTTAGTTGGCTAACTCCTTGAGACAGTGCTATTGTTCCTCTTTTCATAATTATACCTAATACAGCTATGTGCCTTTAAGCCTTGAGTTCTGCAATCCCCTCACACCTATCCTAGTCATAGTATGTATCAGTATACATTGGCTGGATTTAAAGATTCGTATATAGTATGAAACAAATAAAATCAAGGTTATTTTGGTTCCTCCCCTCCCATAATCACAATTTTTTTGTAGTTGTAGATGGACACAATACCTTTATATTTTTTATATATATATATATATATATATATATATATATATATATATATATATAAAAATATATATATTTTATTTTATATATATATATTTTTATATATATATATTTTATTATATATATATAAAAAATATATATATTTTATATATATATATTTTATTTTAGGTGGACACAATATCTTTATTTATTTTTATGTGGTACTGAGGATTGAACCCAGTGCCTCACGCATACGAGGCAAGTGCTCTGCTGCTGAGCTACAGCCCCAGCCCCCATAATCACCATTTTAATATATACATACTTTTTTTTGTTATACATGGACACAATATCTTTATTTTGTTTATTTTTTTTTATGTGGTGCTGAGGATCGAACCCAGTGCCTCATATGTGTAGGCAAGTGCTCGGCCACTGAGCCACAACCCCAGCCCATAATCACCATTTTAAAAGGCACTGATAACAACTTTTTTTAACCATCAGGCCACATCCCCAGTGTTCAACCAAAGACATGAAAAACTGTGCTGTATTTGTGTAATATGAATTGAATTGCATTCTGCTGTCATATATAGCTAATTAGAATAAACAAAATAAATCAAACAACAACAACAACTCTAGCATTGTTTAGGATTTACCTTTGTTCTGAAAGAGCATCGGCAGGAAATAACTGATGTGCGAGAGCATGGGCCACAGTCTCCTTCATGGCACAGCTTTTCACAGGTATGAATGAAATCTTTAATAAAAACGAAAAGAGCTGGAATTAAAATTGCATTTACTCATTTTCATACTCCCAAATATAGTAATGATACTGGTCTTCCATCTCTATTCCTGCAATTCCACATTCAGAGTCCAGGGAAGGATGTAGTCAATGCTTCTTCCCTTATTTTCCCATCATCTGGTAGGTTGGGTCTTTACAGAGGAGGACAGGGTCTATCATAAGTCACTGGAATATACTCTGACATGCATGCTGCTTTGCCTGTCAAAGAATAATTTTTTTTTTTAACTTTTTTTTTGTGGGGGAGAGGTGTACCAGGGATTGAACCCAGAGGTGTTTAACCATAAGGCCACATCCCCAGTGCCCCCCACCCCCCTTTTAATACTTTTTTTTTAGTTCTGGTTGGACACAATATCTTAATTTTACTTATTTATTTTATGTGGTGCTGAGGATCGAACCCAGCACCTAGCATGTGTTAGGCGATCTCTGTACCACTGAGCCACAACCCCAGAAACCCTATTTTAAAATAAAATATTTAAAAAGAACCCTCAGTTCTTTTTAAATATTTTATTTAGAAACAGGGTCTTGCTGAGTTGCTTAGGGCCTCACTCTGAGACTGGCTTTGAACTCGTGATCCTCCAGCTTGTCTCCTGAACTGCTGGGATTACAGGTGTGTGCCACCACACTAGCAAAGAATAGATTTTTCAGCTGGGCATGGGGGTCCTCACCTGTAATCCCAAGCACTCAGAGGTTGAGGCAGGAGAACCACAAGTTGGGGGCTAGTCTCAACAATTTAGTGAGACACTGTCTCAAAATCAAAATAGAAAGGGCTGGGATAAGAAAATAAACTTAAAAAAAAATAAAAAGGCTTGGTGATCTAGTTAAGTGGTATAGCACCCCTAGGTTCCATCCACAGTACTTCATGAAAGGAAAAAAAGTTCTGACTCTTGTTAAGCCCTTAAACCCCAAGTCTGCAGATTAGATTCAGATCCCCTTAAAAGTGTAGCCATGGATGAATGAAACACTCTAGAAGTTATCTGGGGAATGAATCAGAGATAACTCAGAAGCCATAATCCATAATCTCACTGATTTAAATACTGTGAACATCTGGCAATGAGTGGCCTGCATTAACTGAACTAAACAAGATTTTGAACAAATCCTCTTTCAAGGACCTCTTGGAGATCACCCAGAGTCTCTCTTTTTTTGTAGTGCTGGGGATTAAACTCAGGGCCTCAAATATGCTAAGCAAATACTCTAACTATGAGCTGTACCCTCCAACCCTTATTTCTTTCTTTTCTTTTTTTTTATTGGTACTAAGGGTTGAACCTAGGGCCTTAGGCATGTTAAGCAAGTGTTCTACCACTAAATTATATCCCCTTAGTCTCTTTCTTATGGTTACTGTTTACATAATGTACTATCTCCATCCTTTAATGGTCAGCCTAACTGTATCTTTTTTTGGGTGGCCAGTGTGTGTGTGTGTGTGTGTGTGTGTGTGTGTGTTAAAGCCCATGGGCACTTTACCACTGAGCTATATTGCCAGCTCTTTTTATTTGTTTACTTTTTCCACTAGTGACCTCTTTAATATATAGAAATTAGAGATGATAAAATTAGGACTAATTTGTCCAATATATTATTTTTTATTTTGAGACAGGATCTTGCTAAGTTGCTGAAGCTGGCCTCGATCTTGCAACCCTCTTCCCTCAGCCTCTTGAGTTGCTGATACAGGTGTGCACCACTCTGCCTGGCTTGAGCTATTTTCTTAATGGTTGCTCTAAATCTTATCATAATCACCTCATCAGAATCTATTTTGGATTTAATTCCAGTGAGATACAGATGCTCTACTCCTATAAAGCTTCATTCTTCTTCTCCCTTTTTATGCTATTGTTATATGTATCTATATATATTACAAACTGAACATTACATTGTTATAATTTAAATTTACCCTTAGTTACATGGGTAACTAGCTATTATAGAAAGTGACATTCTATGAATGGTCTAAGAGGCTGAAATTTTATTGTACATATCAGTATCTCATCAGTTGTCCAGAATTGACAATAAAAATACCTGAATTGGAGAGATCACTTGGACAAATGTAAGTGTAAAGACAAAGTACCTACACAAATTTGAAAATAATATTTAAAAGAACACTGATAACTGGTTTTTAATACTACTTCGCTAAAATGTCATTGCTGCCACATAATAAAAATGTTTTGTTTTTGGTACTGGAGACTGAACCCAGGGGCACTCTACCAGTGAGCTATATGCTCAATACTTTTTATTTTTTGAGACAGGGTTTTGCTGAATTTCCCAGGCTGGCTTCAAACTCTTGATCCTCCTGCCTCAGTCTTCCAAGTTGCTGGGATCAGAGTTGTATTTGACTGTACCCAGAAGACAACTTTATACAAATTAGTTACCTGAGGAACCACAAGGCAGAGGCTTGCCACACACTTTTCCACATGAAGGAACAGGGTCCATGCATGTTTTCCGTCCGCTACTTCCGAGTTCTAGCAATTGGCTGAGAGGGGTTTGGCCACAAGGGCAACAGCGCACCAGATGGGGGAGCCGTGGGCAAGGCTGGCAGGGTTGAGGATGGCACACTTGAGAACAGGTATGGCTCCCACATTTCAAGTCCCTGTTAAGAAAAAGAACAGATTATTACATAATTGTTGCATAAAATTCAGTTTTATTCTAATAGAAGAAAATGTAAAACCTTACTTGCCACATATCTTTAAACAGCCAAAGTCCCCAAATCCATCAGACTTTCCTATGTCTGTTCCACATAACACATCTCTGGAGGTGCTGCCACAGTAGCATACTTGAGGACACAATTTCAAAAACAACAGATTAATAACCTATAGATGCTCTTAAAATATTTCAAATAATCTACAAGAAAACAAAAAAATGTTTTTCATAAGTGCTGATCAGGCCTGATTCAGAAATTAATGTGCTTTGTACAGGAGCTCAAAGTCCCACCTAATAGCTTTATACAGGAATAAATTTAAAAAAGGCTTCGTTAGGCTCTGTCAGTCTCATAGTGCCTCTGTAGCACACCCTAAAAACAACATCACAGTGAAGCAACTCTCAAATTTAAAGACTATCTGGCCCCTAAAGCCAGACTGTGAAGCTCCATGGGGTACTGTCATAGGAGATAGATGAGCTTAGCTAGTAGTAGTGGTAGAGGGGTTGATACCCATCCTCATCTCAACACAAACAGTATAGATATGGTACTTTATATTCTGGGTTTTACATAAAATGCTTGAAAAAAAGGTCCCTGATACTTCAATTTTTTTTAAAGAAAAAATTATCACGATAGTATTAGATCCTTAATAATCCATATATTTCTCTGTTAAATTTGAATACACTGAGTGAAAAATTTCAAAGAATTCAAGACTTTTTAGGGATCCAACCTAGGGTCTTTCACATATGCTAGTCCAGTGTTCTATCACTGAGCTATTTGATACTCTTTGCAGAAATGTTTCTGATACATAAATATGTATCAATTTACATACATAATTTTCCTGCCCCTTTATGCTTTTATTTTATAGTGAAAATTTATCTTATAAATTAACCTATGCAAGTATATCCTTCATAATAAATGGTGATCAGAATAGTAGAAACTAAACTGAAATTCTGCAGATCTAATGATATTTTCCTTCTTCCAAGGGCAATTTAGATACCTACTGTACACAAAATCTATCAGAATAAATGTAACATTATAAAAACATCAAGTCTTTTGTCTCCCAATGGTACTATGAATTGAATCCAGGTATACTCTACCACTGAGCTACATACCCAGTCCTTTTTATTTTTGATATATATGAAATAAGAAATAAAATAGAATGCTTCTAATAAAACACTAGAAATAACATTTCTAAAATAAAATTGTATACTAAACAGAACTAAAAACTTCTACTGAGACCTGGGAAAAGGAAAGCCTCAAGTCACTGAAGACATAATCTAGATAAAATATACATTTCATCTTGAATTAAGTAATGTGCAACTTAATCCCATTCTAAAATTCATTCATTCACCCCCCAAAAATTTAATATAGATGTAGGAAACAATATTTGTGGAATCAATGAATTAGTAAATAAACCCTAGGCAAATAGGAGTATCGGAGAGCAATGTTTCCTTTGCTAAGTTTATGCTCCAACAGAACAGAAACTTTTTTCAGAGTTAATGAACAAACAACTGTAAATAAAGACTTAAGATTCAGGAGCTGGGGATGTGGCTCAAGCGGTAGTGCGCTCGCCTGGCATGCGTGTGGCCTGGGTTCGATCCTCAGCACCACATACAAAACAAAGATGTTGTGTCCGCCGAAAACTAAAAAATAAATATTAAAATTCTCTCTCAAAAAAAAAAAAAAAAAAGTTAAGGGTCAGAAAACTGTGACAATAAAAATAAAATGGAGCTCCTGGACAATCAGAAAATAACCTGAGTAAAATACTAAAAAGCTTTGTTATACTTGGGCACAAGTTGTCACAAGTTGTGTTAGGGAGCCAAAAACAGTCCTGAGGAAGAACTCTGTTGTCAGTTGTAATCTGTTCAGCATTTTCACAACACATGAATGAACATCCAGAAGGAATGCTTAACACATCTCTAAATAAGGCTGAATGAAGGGAATCTGAAAAGAATTAGCACTACAGAAGATAAGCTTTACGTGTGACCAAAATATTTCCTTATTTAATGCAGACAAAAAGACTTCAACTGGGTTTAAGACTTCAACTAGGATACAAATTTGTACAAAAAAAAGACCTGAGTAAAAGCCCAAACTGCATCAAGACTAAAAAGGCCTTAGCTGGGCACTATGGCTTGTATCAGTAGTCCTAGCTACTGGGGAAACTGAGGTAGGGTTGATTGAGCCTGGGAGTTCAAGGATAGCCTAGGCAACAACAACAACAACAAAAAAAAAAAAAAAAAAGAAGAATAAGAAAATACCATAATTTATCCATTCCTTCTTCCATAAATGGACATTTGGCTGTTGTTTCTAGTTTGGGGTTCTTATTAAAAACATATTAATGGGGATCTACTAAGCTGGGGATGTAGCTTAGTAGAGCCCTTGCCTAGCAAGTGCAAGACCCTGGATTCAATCCCTAATACTGCAAAAAACAACACCCCCTGTCCCCCAACTCCCATAATCCCATACAAGTCTTTTTGTGACTTAGTTATGAAAACAGCAAAAAGGGATGGCTGGTTACAGGTTTAATTTTATAAGAAATTGTCCAAAGTGGTTTTCTCATTTTATACATCTGCCAGCAATACATGAAAACTCTAGTTACCTACACTTGCCAACATTTGATCACTAGTCTTTTATTTTAAACATTCTTGAAAGTGCAAATAGATACTTCATTATGGATTTGGTTTTTCTCTGCTTCCCCTTGACCCTCCTTCCACATTGTTTTTTTATAACACAGTTTTACTGCAATATAATTCACATGCCATATAATTCCAGAAAAATAATCACAAGCTTTCCTAGCTGATGTGCATACCACTTACCCTGGTTCAATATAATCCGGCAAGGCTGGCATTGACCCCCATGGCACAGCTCAGCACAATGGTGCTGCCCACAATTCAAAATATTCTCACATGGGTTAGAACAGTGGACTGAGACAGCCTGACCACAGCGAACTGTGTGCCTGCAAAGACAGTAGTAGATAACAAAGACAACATCAGTCTAAAGGTTCCTGCTATACAGTTAAACTAACACTGAAGCCCAAACCTCTCCCCCAAAACCTACTAAACCTGTTTATTGACCCTGTCGCCCCAGTTCTTTTTTCTCCCTTCCTCCCTCCCTCCCCCCTTCTTTCATTTCTTTTTTGTAGTACTAGGGACTGACCCAGGACCTTGCACAAGCTAGGCTCTACCACTGAGCTACAACATCAGTCCTTTTAATTTATTCTGAGACAAGTCTCATTAAGTGCCCAGGCTGGTCTCAAACTTGTAATATTCCTGCTTTAGCCTCTTGAGTAGCTGGGATGGAATTACAAGCATGTGTCACTGTGTTTGGCTTTTCTATATATCTCCTTCCTCCAGTTCTTATTTCTTTTATTACCCTCTTCTTCTTCTTCACTTTTTCTTTCTTATTACCCAGGCTTCTTTTCTCTCTATTTTCTAATCAGTGAGGAATTAAAGGTTATTCCTAAGAACTCATTCTATGTAATTTTATCTGAGTTCCATGATGGAGCATGCAGGAGTAGAAAGAGCTCCAGGATGAGAGGGGAGAAGATTCAAATTCTAATCCTAGCTCTGCTTGGGGCTCCCATAATACCATACAGATAGGGTACGAAGAAAACATAATACTAATGTACTCAGATTTGATGTATTGAGAATTAAAGCACAATGGCATTTTCATGGGGCCCAGCACCCTGGCATTTCATTCTGATATAATACTTATATAAATATAAACATGATAGACAAGATTTTGATTTAGGGTGGATAAGCCAATTCTAACTTTGTTTTAATTAACACCCAGATTGGGGATGTAGCTTAGTAGAGCCCTCGCCTAGCATGTGCAAGACTTAATGGCTTTTAGATATTGTCTTCAGGTGTCTTTCCAGATGATAGTTTAGTCTATTCTCCTGCAAGAAGAGTTTAATTTTACCCCTCCCATTTCAAATATATATTTTGTTTAAAAAGTCATTATTGAATTCAAATTGAATTTGTGTGGGTATGTATGCGCATGTTCCATGCATTTATTTTGATTACAGTTAAATAAAACACAACATAAACCAAAAAAGAAAACAAAAGTCATTGTTATGTACATAAATGATCAAAATGCAGTGCTCAGTATAATGGCTACCACTGGCCTATTATGCTACCATGTACCTAGCACCATGGTTAATTTCAACCCTTCAACTATTTATTATTTCTAATATATATATATATATATATATATATATATATATATATATATATATATGTATGTTGTAGTTGGACACAATACCTTTATTTTTTTATTTTTATGTGGTGTTGAGGATTGAACCAAGCACCTTGCATGTGCTAGGTGAGCGCTCTACTACTGAGCCACAACCCGAGTCCCTTATTTCTACTTTATAATGAGAAAAGTGAGTCTCAGTGAGATCAAACAACTTTCTTAGAATCAATAGCCAGTAAGTAGTAAAGCCCAGATTTGATCTTCTGACTCAGAACTCTCTCATGTCTTTTAGGCCACACTACTACAAATGCAAATCACTGAAATCTGCATGATCCCATCTTGTTTCAAGGTTCAGAAATCATTTTAACATCTTCCTGGGCCTCAGAGACACTCCACAGTTATCAATGATCCTTGCAATAATGATGAATTCATGATGCAATAATGCAATAATGATGAGTCCATGATCTTAGCAGGCCTGGGTTCAATTCCTGGTTCTGTCACCCATTAGAAAGGTTAATAAAAATCCCTGTCCCATTGGCATTTCACCTGAATAGGTAATCTTACAATCTCACTGTGCATACAATTTCTTAATTACTTATATAAGATTTCAAAGCAGGATCAGGAGCATCACAGGAAATTATTATTTATAAAAAAGTACTACTGTTCTCCCTTTGTGAGTTCTGTATCCACAGATTCAACCAAGAGCAAATAAAAAATATTAAAAAAAATTGTGTCTATACTGAACATGTATGGTCTTTTTTCTTGTAATTATTTCTTAAACAATATAGTGTAACAACTATTTCTACAGCATTTATATTGTCTTAGGCAATATAATACAGAGATGATTTAAAGTACATGGGAGATTGTATATAAGTTATATGCAAATACCCCATCACTTTATAAAAATGACTTAAGCATTTGTGGATTTTTACCCTCGGGGGTCCTAGAATCAATCGTCTATGGATACCAAGAGATGATTTTTTTTCTTTACACTTACCATTTAATTATATTTACTAATTTTTATTTTAGAAATTCACAAGTAAATCACAGATGTGGAAACAGTGCTATTCTAACTTTACCTGGTACGTCCACATTCGCACGTTTTAGTCATAAAAGCAGGACAGGGTGGGCAGGGACCAGGATGACAGAGACTGAAAAACAAAGGCTTCAATGAACAAACCATACTTTGTGCCCAAACCAAAACAAAGCAATATAACTGGGTCCTATTGTGAACATGGCAAAAAATAAACCTACTATTATGTCTAAGTTATTTCCCTAAAGAAAACCAACCATACTTTTATGTATAAAATATTAACTGCATTATCGTTTTAGAACATTTAACTGGAAAAGTAAAGCCCAAGTCAAAATACTAGTTTTATTTGGGTCTGATAGTCAAAGATGATATTTTCAAATATGGCCTTGGCCCATTTACAGCAGTGGGTAGGGATAAAAATACCTCAGTAGTAGAATACTTGACTAACATGCACAAGCTTCTGAATTCAATACCCAGTACTACACACACACACACACACACACACACACACACACACAATTGTGCCTTTCAGGTGCCAGGTAGGATGACAATCTGAGCAATGTGACAGAGCTCAGCTCCACTAGGTCCATGACAAGCATAGACATTTTCTCATCAACTACTGAAATGATCACTAGGCAGTGGGCAAACAATGGGAAGAATGAAAAAAAGATTGCTATAAGGGGGTGGACCCTGGTAAGCAAAAAAGGGAGAGAAGGAAGGGACCAGGGGTCATGGAAAAGATTGAGCTTAGTGATATACTACAGGTCAGAATTAGAACTCTGAACAGAATGCTTTTTATAGGAACTACATTATGAGGCCAACAGAAAAAATTGCAAAATGGAATTTGTACATTCAAATAAATATTGCCTTTTTCAAAGCAGATATCCTGGTAAATTATACAATGGTTCAGAAATACCACTACTTACAACATTTGGGGAACTTCTATAACATATTTGGTGAAATAGGGCATTCTAAGTGATGCTAAAGTATAATCCTTTGAGAATTAAAAGCCAATCTGAGGCCAGTCTAATTAATTGCATGGGTAACAGAATTTTGTGCAAAACAAACCAGATGTGCCTACAAAGTAGTCTGGCTGGAATTTTTGGTTTTATACATGACTCACCAGCTCTGTTTTTTTTTTTTTTGTTTGTTTGTTTTGGTGCTATAGATTGAACCCAGGGCATTGCAAATGTTAGGCAAGCACTCTACCACTGAGCTACATCTCCAATCTTTCTGGTACCTTTTAAATAAGGTTTAAACATTGGTAACAATCCAGGAATAAGCACCTAGTTTTCAAAAGTGACCACTTTGATAGCACCCACAGGAAACTTTAGTTTAAGCATGTCTTTAAAGAAGAGTATAATTTATTCAAAAGTAATATTTCACATGGTATGTCACAACCCTGTCAGGCAAAAGAATTTAATCAACTTTTAATGAGACAAACCACAGGTCAGGTGTGGTAATTTCAAATATTGCCAAAAGCTGAACTAAGTTTCTTAACCTTTACAGCAGGGTTTACAGTGCTAACTATATACTGGAATTACCTGGAGAGCTTTTAAAACTACAGAGGTTCAGGACCCAACCTTATAGGTTCTGATTCGATTGCTGGAAGATAGAGACTGAGTTAATTGTGTTTTAAAATGTTCCCTAAGTAATTTTAATATGTAGCTAGGGTTGAGAACAATTGTTTGAGGGAATTTTACTACCTATGCAACCCCAAATAGAGAAAGGGGTCAGTTGTGGCTTTGAAGTCTTGATAAGGATAAAAAAGAGAAACTTCAAACTTTCTTTGAGATCAAGAAAGTGCTGTTGGGGAATGGGTTTCATCAACATTTGAGGTCCTGACTGTAATAAAAAGACAATTTCCAAATCAAGTGTGGAATTTGCAAAGCTGCAAAACAATGTGTTTTAGAGCATCCTTCCTTTCAGACATGGTGTTGACTATCTGATCTGTATCACTTTTTTGGGGGCGGGGTATTGAACTCAGGGGCACTCAACCACCAATCTACATCCCCAGCCCTATTTTGTATTTTATTTAGAGACAGGATCTCACTGAGTTGCATAGTGCTTAACTTTTGCTGAGGCTGGCTTTGAACTTGCAACCCTCCTGCCTCAGCCTCCCGAGCCTCTGGGATTACAGGTGTGCACTATACCACCCGGCTCATTTATTTATTTATTTTTCCACAGAACCCTGTGAGTTAAGTACTATTATTCAAATCATTATTATTTTACAAATGCAGAAATCCAGGCTTAGAGAAATAATTTGTCTGAGGTCATGTAAATATCTGATTCAAACGCAGATTTAAATCTTTGTCTGGGGTCAAAGCAGTCCACATTTATTTGAAACTGATCAATTCTTTCTCTATGACCAATTTTTTTTTTTTTAAAGAGGCTGATTTGGTACATCTTAACCCTGGCTATTTATTGTATAGAAAGTATTTATATCATAAAAATACTGTCAGACAAGATGCTATGCAATTATCTTTCCTCAGACCAAAGGCTGTCATATGCATTCTCTCTTGGACCTGGATATTAGATATTGCTAGGAGATAAAATATCTGATTCTCATGTCTTTTTAGAAATGGTGCAATGCTGTGGAAGGAGCATTGGCTTTGAAAATTATAGTTCTACCATGTCCTAACATTGCGATGTTGGGCAAGAGGCTTGGCCTTTCTAAACCTCATCTGTAAAGTGGAGATGACACATATCTACACATCACTGAGCTATGTTAAAAATTGAACAAATTACCTTATGTAGAATGCCCAGTGCACAGTAAATGCTAAGTAAATGGTACCATATCACCCTTCCCCTGATCTATTACATATTAACCAGGTATGTGTACTTTATAGCTAATAGCAAGGCACGTACACCAGGAATCTCCAGAGGTCTAGTATTCCAACTTACAGGTTACAGGAATGTGGGCAGTCCTGGCCAGGCTGTTTCTTTCTACAAACCTCACCACAACTATGTGGAATTTCATTTCTGCTCCATTCAGGATTCTTTACTTTGCCTAAAATATATCAGATCAGAGAGTCAATGCTACAGATTTCAACCATATTCTCAACTTTAATGAAATAGTACAGAATAGCTAGACAGCATGAAACTTCAAGTGTGGTTTTCATTAGTTCAACAAATTCATTATTTCACATCCTACAATAAAAAGAAATGTAATGCTATTCATCAAAAGCTCCACTGAGTCTTAAATTCCAGCTTACATAGGAAAGAGAAAAAGGTGTTTTTTGGTACCAGGGATTGAACTCAGGGGTGCTTAACCACTGAGCAACATCCCCAGTCCTTTTGTATGTTTTATTTTGAGACATGGTCTCACTAAGCTGCTGATACTGACTTTGAACTTGTGATCCTCCTGCCTCAGCCTCCTGGGTTGTTGTGATTGCAGGTGTGCGCCACTGCGCCTGGCAGAAATAAAGTCATTTTTACTTATGAAAGTGCTATTTTCATTTGATTAATGAGCACATTTAATCTCAGATAAATATCTACTAGATAAACATCCTGTAAATGGGCTCCTAGAAAATCTATGGTAAGGATTAGAAAGAAACAGGAAAAGCGGGCTAGTGGGCTGGTTATGTAACTCAGTGGTATAGCACCTGCCTAGCATGCGTAAGGCCCTGGGCTCAATACCCAGTGCCACAAAAATAAATAGGTAGAAAATAAAAGAAATAAGGAAAGAGAATTGGGGAAAAGGGGATGAGGCCATAAGATGGAAAGGACATAAATTCTCACCTATTCTAAAGCTATAAAATAGGCATAAAAGCATTATAATTTTATAATCAAATCTTTACTGAGCATCTTCTTCAGACTTAACAGAGGCAGGGAAGAACAAAATCCAAGTTACAAGACTCCTCCTTGTCCTTGAAGAATTCATCCTCACTTGGGTAATTTAGACATGAAATGGCAGCCAGCTCCACTCCATGCTCTCACCTTTTCTCTATATATGGTCTCTTTTAGAAATTTTATTCATATTGAGAGATTCAATAATGCAAAGTCCAAGTGATTCACAAATCTACATTTTCTGCCTTGCCTTGAATCTTCAATTTCAGTCTCACATGTCTAGCCACCTGCTGAACACCTCTGCTTGGGATTTCAGTCACATATAACTGACTTATCTACAGCCAGAGTTCAGATCTTCTTTCTAAAGCCTCTCCCTCAGGAAGGGAAAAGAGAGGTAATGGAGTCTGAATTAGAGCAAGATTATATTCTATGCTTTTATAATTATGTCAAAATAGATTCTATTGTTATATATAACTTAAAAAAAATTTTAAAAAAAGGCTCTCCCTCTTCAGTGTTCCTTATTTTGATCAATGACAGCATCAATGTCAGAGTAACACTCAAAAACTAGTCATTATTAATTCCTCTTTTTCTTTCCACATTGTAATTAGTCACCAAGTCTTGTCAATTCTTCCTTAGTTACTCTCTCCTATCTCTCCTCCTACTCCTGCTCTTGTCTCACTATCTGCTAAAATCTCACAACAGGGTATCAGGAAAGCTGCAGCTGTGTTTTCTTGTTCCAATATAGTGCTCCAGTTTGGCCCTAACATCTTTTGATGCCTCCACCACTTCTGCCTGAGTCACAGTGATAGTTGTCTTTTCCCTGCCAGGATTCTGTATTATATTCTTTCCTTATTCCTTATCCTTTTTTTCCAGTAGGGTCTTACCTACTCCTCTCAATTGCAACTTTCATCCTAAGTCTTTATCTTTTTTTGAATATATTCCTACCTGCCTATTAGACATTCTTTACTAGATATTCTGCACATTCACCCAACTCAGTATTTCTAACCTGAATTCATTGTCCCTACTGATTCTCTTGCTCCACCCTTTTCCCTGATATCACCATTTCTAAAAGCATGAAACTTTATGTTTGAGTTCTTCCCTTTCCTATTGCTGTTCATTCCTGCTTACCTTTAAAATTTTTACCTTTTCCTTTCTATCGCACTCATTATAGATTCCTATTTACTGGAAGAGGGGATTGGGGATCACACCCTGATTAGCAAGTGGATGAGAATTTATTTTTTAAAACTATTTTTAGTTCTAGGGATTAAACCCCAGGAGCACTTAAACACTGAGCCACATCCCTAGCCCTTTTTAAAATTTTTTTAAGACAAAGTCTCGCTAACTTAGGGCCTCACTAAGTTGCTGAGGCTGGCTTTGAACTTGCGATCCTCCTGTCTCAGCCTCCTGAGCTGCTTAGTTATAGGTGTGTGCCAGCATGCCTGGCAGTGGATGAGAATTTAAAGAGGAGGAAGAACATTTTTGATCGTCAGTGAGTTCACCAAGGAATTGAGAAGATAGTAGATGGTCAATGATTGACTCTTGGTGAAAGCTTTTAGTTAAGTAATGGGAAAGGAGTGATATGAGTAAATTGGTTAGAAAAATGAGAGCATGCAGAAACAAACAGAAGAGCTGGTCATATGGTAAACACGTCAAGGGTGTGTACTGTCCAAAAGATTAAGAATTTATAAATCAGCCATTGATATTGCCCAAAGGGGGTCAAATGATGACTTTTGAATATAGTTCCAGCAAGACAACAGAGATAAGAGGAAAAATGCATGGTTCAAGGAGGGAGATAAAATAGTTAAGAAACAAAATCTGAAAAATTGACTATATGGAGAGGTTAGTCATTACAAATCAGCAGGAAGGGGCTGGGGATATAGCTCAATTGGTAGAATGCTTGCCTCACATAGCACAAGGTCCTGGATTCAATCCTCAGCACACACACCCCCCAAAAAAATCAGGGGCGGGGGGAAGACATGTCAGGAATAAGATGGAAATAAGCTAGTAGCAGGAATGGGCATCAGGATTATAATTACATAGGATTTCTAATACATAGGAAAACTGAGCTATTAAAAAATAGGAATATCCCAAAAAGAAGGAAGATGTAAAGATATGAGTTTGTAAGGCTGGTTTATAAAAAAATTATTATATGAAGAAAAAATGACTTATTTTTGAATAAATATAAAATACTAGCTTTTTACTCATGCTGTTCAAATCTGGAATGTTAAAGCTGTCGCAGTTGGTTATGAGCGGGAGCACATATTGATACTGCCTCTGCCAGATGGTCAGCTCTTGTCTTAAGCTAAGACCAAGGAGACCTGGACCACAATTCTGAAGTGACATAAGCCTGATTGGCATCATAAGCCTATCTCCAGAACAGCCTGCTGAGAGCACAAAAGCTCATGACTCTAGCTGGGAGATGAACCACATTAGTAAGGTCCTTATAGAGCCTCACAGCTTTAGAGTCTTACTAATAACTTCTAAGACAAGCCCAGCAGATTACCTCTCCTAGACAGCACACCGAGATACAATAAATGAAGTGAAAGACTCTGTAATGTATGCAAACTTACCACAGAAACAAGTATAGGTATTAGGAACATGTGCAGACACATTCTGACAGGTGGGGCACCTCCAACCACTCTGGCCATCTGCCAAAAAAATGAGTATGACAAAGAAATTTTCTTTCAAAAGCACAAGTAGGGCTGGGGGTGTAGCCCAGGAGCAGAACACCTGCTTGGCATGCATGGGGTCCTATGTTCGATCCCAGCACTACCACCCCAAAAAAGGCACAAGTAATTTTAAAAAATTTAAATCTAGGACAGGGGCTATAGTTCAGTGGTTTGCCTAGCAAGTACAAGGCCTTGGGTTCGTTTTCCAGTAGCGCGCGCGCGCGCGTACACACACACACACACAAAAACCCCAAAAAACAAAAAACCAAACAAACTAAAAACTGCCAAAGTCACAATATTGACATCCTGGTAGAAATTTCAATGTTAAGCATATCAAACATTTAAGAAAGAAATTCACAATACTGAAAGAACTTTCAGATATAACAAATCAAGTAGGCATTCGTTTTGTTCTATCATTTCTAATGTCAACATTAATCTGAATCTTGGTTTGAAAAATATAGGATAAACTGAGTATATGCAAGAAAATCCAGGAGTTTTGAATTAGAGGTCCATAGTTCAGAAACCATATTATTAGTAACATATGCATTATTTAATCATATTAGTATACTTAGCCAACAATATACTATGAAGAAGGGTTGTGAAAGGCAAAAACAACTTCAAAATCTTGAGTATAAATGAAACCATTGCTCTGCATAAATTTCTAAGGCAAACTATATAAGAAAAGCTTTCTATAGTTGCTACTTGGATAAAAGCTGCCATTTTCAATAAAAGTAACAAATTTTATTATACCCTAAATATTTTAATATTGTTACATTTAGTTAGTTTAGTTAAGATTTACAGCTTAACTTTGGCCATCTAAAATGCGATCAAGGTAATATACTCTCCCTGGAGACAAAATATTTAAGAGGAATTAAACAATATTTTAAAGCTAGACTTACCACCTGAACATATCAAAGAGATGAGAATAACTACTCTGAAAAGAGAAATAACTGACCTGCTTGAGATGCTGGAGACCTTGCCCATTTCTTTATGCAGTTCAGATGAAACACATGATAACAGCTCTGACAACTCCACACTGGGGCTGTGACACGAACCAATTCACAGCACACCATGCATTCATATTTTTCTGTAGTCAGCTGTTCAATTAGAGAACCTGTTGGGAAAAAAAAAAAAAAGGATAAACTCAAACATCCTTCACATTTCGCTAATCATTCAGAAGAAACTAAACAGAGATTTTAAGGGATATCTGATTTTGAATAAGATGGCTATTCAGACATTAAGGTCTACAAAGCAGGATATGCTGAGGCAGAGGATTTAGTAAAAAGATTTTTTAGTGTGCATTCCCATAATTGAGAAAATATTCCCAAGAATTTTCTCAGAAAGATACTAGGGTGGCAAAATGCTCCTGAAAGACAGACAGCTTGAGTGTCCTTGGGGGACACTGTACAATGGAATGTTGCTCTGCACACTCTAAAGGAGAGAGGCCCTGAATCTACCAAATCCATGGATTTAGGCTAGGGTGGGGCTCATGAAGCTGCACTGGTCAGCTGCAAAAGCCTAAATCTGGATATGTTCTAACAATCCATGGGGGAGTGAGATGGTTCCAGCAGTTACCCCAGAAGTTTTTCTTTATTTACTCAATAAAGATAGGCTTGGCTCCTATCACAATCTCCATGGTAGGGTTACCAGACCTAAGGAGACACAGTTCCTGATTCCAGGAACTCACCATCTACTGAGACCAAGGGAATAGTTTGGAGTTATAGCTCAATGGTAGAAAACACATTTAGCATGCACAAGGCCCTAAGTTCCATCCCTAGCACTACATACACAAAGAAACTACCTGATAGGACATATATTTTACTTGTTTTCTCTTGCTTATTATTCAACTCTTTTCACAGAATAGTGCAGACTTTCACTAGAGTGGTGCCTGGGACATGATGAGTACCAACACTATTTCTCCCGCCCCCTTCCTTTTTTTATCATTGCTTAACAATTTCTTTGTATCTTTATTAAATTTTTAAAAAAATTTCTGCCTAGTACCACAGTGAACTAGGTAACCACAATAATTTACACACTGTGTAATGAAAAACACAAAAATAGCATACCCAATAGTATTTCTCATATGAAAAATGTACAGGTTCCAGAAAGGTCCCAGAAAAAGAAACAGTAGGTCTTTCACTGATGACACTAATCTTTCCTTTAGTTTTATCAAAACATGCCTAACTTGTAAGACATGACAATGTCCTGCCATTACTCTGTTAGTTAACTATCAGGTTTCAGGTGTAAGAGTCTTGTCCACACTAGATGGCAGTCATGCCTTGACTATTGGCTCTTTTTGAATTCTAGAAGGTATTTTTCCACTATGGCTTCCCTACCATTTCTGAGTCATGATTGTATCTATGCTTCTAATTGGATAAAATGTCCTACTGGCATATTATCCACTGAAATAATCAGAAAAGCAGAGATATAACTGAAGCATTAACTGACTGAGAACTTTTCAGATATATCAATAAATAACTGATTAAAGAAAAAAAAGCTAAAAAAAAACAGATTTGGAAAAATTCAAGACTAAAATGAGTTTTAAGACAATCAGGATTTCAATCATGGAGTAGGTATTAGATGAGTTAATAAAAGCATTGCTAACTTTGTTAAGTGTGAAGACAATACTATGATTATCTAAGAAAATGGCCACTTGCATTGAAAAATTCCATAAGGAAATAGAACAAAAAGTTAAAGTTGATTTTACCTGGATACTGGGACTAAAAGTAAGCTATCCACTAGGGAATTTTAGTAAGTTATCTCACTAAAGTTGAGGTACCTATATATTTTTTTAAGCTAATACAATGGTAGGCCTGGTTAAGATGTTCAAGTTGGTCTTGTTGAATTCAAAGTATATGTTACCCGAATGTATATATTTATTAAATCTAAAGCTTTAGGGTCTGAACATAGAAGAAGTCAGTGCAGAATGGAGGCAGTGGTCCTTGGATAAAATAACCTAATGAGACCTTATCAACGAGAACAAAGGGTTGAGATAAAACCCCAGGAAACACCCAATAGTTAGGAAAGAGAGGAGGAAGAGAAATTTGAAAGACTCAAGCAAAATAGTCAAAGAAAATAAGAAAGACCAGAAGTATGTGGTGTCAAGAAAGTCTCACTTCAAAAAAGACTCCCTCTTGTGGGCTGGGGATATAACTCAGTTGGTAGAGTGCTCGCCTTGCATGCACAAGGCCCTGGGTTCAATTCCCTCTTTACATCATACTCAAAGGGAAATCCAGAATAGTAAGGACTGATATACATCCATCTAATGGGTGTGGCAAATAGAAAACCATTCCTGACCTTATCATTGTTCAGCTGAATCAAATGATGATGATGATGATACAAAGAAGTGAATCAAAATAGAGAAAACAACAGACAACTCTTTTTTTTATTTTTAAAGAGAGAGAGAGAGAGAATTTTTTTTTTTTTTTAATTTTTTTAAATGTTTATTTTTTAGTTCTCGGCAGACACAACATCTTTGTTTGTATGTGGTGCTGAGGATCGAACCCGGGCCGCACGCATGCCAGGCGAGCGCGCTACCGCTTGAGCCACATCCCCAGCCCCAGAGAGAGAATTTTAATATTTATTTTTTTTTTAGTTTTCGGCAGACACAACATTTGTTTGTATGTGGTGCTGAGGATCGAAACCGGGCCGCACGCATGCCAGGCGAGCGCGCTACCGCTTGAGCCACATCCCCAGCCCAGCAGACAACTCTTGATTAGCCCGGAATGAAAAGAAAGAAATCTTACTAAGAAGTCATTCAGCAAAGGAAATTTTCCTTTTGGAGGGTAGAAAAGACTTGGCAAGAGCTTCAGACTTAGAAGCTGAAAGAGTACATGTGAAAAGGTTGGTGAAAGGAAAACAAAGGAAATCTCAGAATGAAATTGAAGGACAGGTAAACGAAGTGTGCATAAAAGGAACAAAATGGTGAGATAAATATGGCCTATCTGATGGTTTCCTCTTCATCAGTAAAGTAGGAAGCAAGAAGGTTCACTTGAGATTTAGGGAGAGGAATCCTTATCTTTATGAAACTTATAATCTCATGGGAGAAAGTAAACCATAAACAAATAAATAATGAAAATATGTAACACCATAAGATAGAGAAAGGTGATATGGAGAAAAAGAAAATAAGAAAGGACAGGGAATCCTGACAGTGGGGAAGGATTATAATTTTAAATAAGATGATTAGGAAGTGTCACAGTTTGCATTTTTAAAGTTCCCTAATGGTTTATGTATTGAAGATTTAGTTTAGTCTCCAGTTAATGGTGCTATAGGGAGGTAGTAGAAACTTAAGGATCTGGGGCCTCATTGGAGGAAGTCAAGTCAATATGGGTGTGTCCTGAAGGGGTTATCAGGACTCCAGCCTCTCTTTCTCTGCTTCTTGGGGGCCATGGGCAGCTCTGCTCTACCACAAGCTCCCTGCCATAATGTTGTGTCTCACTGAAGGCCCCAGGATAGACCCAACTGACCATGATTTGAACCTCTGAAATAATGAGACAAATTAATTTTTTTCCTCTTTTAAACTGTTTATTTCAGGTATTTATCACAGCAATGGAAAGCTAACGCAGGTAGGCTTCTCTAAAAAGATGAATAAACCTGCAGCAGCACCAATTTTGGTTTTGTGACTTTTCTGGAACAGCATTTTATTTCCCAGGTGCTGATGTAGAATAAAGCAGATTTTCTGGGAATGAGATTCTGCCAAATGGCTTGGCAAAAGATCATGCTTCACATGATCTGTGATAAGACTCATCCTGAAAAGAGAATGAAGAAAGGCAAGAAGTAGACAAAACTGGTAGTGTGGGTGCAAGAAAGAGGCTGAGAGAACCAGGACAAACGGTTACAGTCAAAAAGTTGACATAACAACAGATACTAGTATGGCAATATGTAAATCAATGGATGTGTAACTGATGTGATTCTGCAATTTGTATACGGGGTAAAAATGGGAGTTCATAACCCACTTGAATCAAAGTGTGAAATATGATATATCAAGAACTATGTAATGTTTTGAACAACCAACAATAAAAAAATTAAAAAAAAAAAAAAAAGTTGACATAAGACTTTCAGTGACAGGATTCTCAGTGTTATTTCCCTGAGAGTGGGTATGGAGGTAGGATGAAGTTAAAGGTGACTGTAGTTGAGAAGATGAAAGAACTTCAGGATGGCATAATCCATATGATTGTTAGATGCTAAAGTCACACAGAATAACAGCAGGTTTTATGGCAGATCATTCTCAAACTTGAGCATGCAATTAGAATTACATGGAAGTTTGTTAAAAAATAAAATTACAGATCCTGCTCCCAGGATTTTTGTTTGATAAGTCTGGCATGAGGCCCAAGAACCTGCATTTTTAACAGGTTCTTGGGTCTTGCTGACAGCTGCTGGTCTGGGACCATACTTTCAGAACCACTGCAGTAGAAAAATGGAGCAAGATGCATCAATAGGAAGGGCTGGGGATGGGAGATTTGGAGAATGAGAGATGACAAAGGAGTGCTGGTACGGTATGCAGGTCTGTAATCCCAGTGGCTCGGGAGGTGGAGGCAGGAGGAGAGTGAGTTCAAGCCAAACTCAGCAATTTAGTGAGGTGCTAAGCAACTTAGTGAGATGCTGTCTCTAATAAAATACAAAATAGGGCTGGGGATGTGGCTCAGTGGTCGAGTGCCCCCGAGTTAATTTCCCAGTACCAAAAAAAAAAAAAAAGGAGATAAGGAGACACAGAAGGTGATATAGATAAAACAGAAGTAGTACTTGTCAAGAGCCATCTAGTGTTGCGTGCTGAGTGACACATAAGTGCCTTTCCTCTCACTCTGTCAGCGATCACACACAGCACCTGAGATGGGTGTGACTTGCTGAGATGTCAATCAATCTGCTGACAGCAAGACTCCACCTTTCGAAACCCTCTCCCTTACCTTATTTGGGTGGAATATTCTGTCGGGGTAGAATTCTTGCCTAGTATGCCCAAGGCTCTGAGTTTTATTCCCAGCACCACAAAAAAATAATGTAAATAACAATATAATATAAATATCAGAATATAAATAAATAAGTCCCTAATCCTTTCCCAGGTTTTACATTCAGTAAATGGCAGCTCCACTCTTTTAAACTGCTCAGGCACAAAATCCT